CTATTGACCTGAATCCCAAACAGAATCACAGAGATATAGAACTGGAAGGGATTAGAGATAGTCAATGTAATACAGTGACTGAGTGCTAGATTTGCTACCAGGAAGGCCTGTGTTTGAATCCTGCCCAAGACATCATCTGTGTGACCCAGGGCAAGTACCTTAATTTCTCTGAGCTGTCTTTAATTTCCTTGTTAGGGGTTTGGATTTGAGTACCTCTAAGATTCTTTCCCTTCTAGGTCTAAATCTACTGATTCATAGATTTAGGTTTGGAAAGGAAGTTAGAGGTCCTTAAGTCCATCTTCCCCTCATTTTATAAAAGAGGAAAGTGAAGCCTGGAGATGCTAAGAGATTTGTCCAAATTCATAGAGCTGTTAAGTGTCAGAACCAGGATTCTAAGCCAGTAGTCTTTCTACCACATTATGGGTTCTGTCTAGTTCAACTGCTTCATTTTGCAGGTGAAGAAACAGACCCAGATAAGCAATGACACATATGTACTTTGTGACAGAGTCAGTATTCAAACCAAGGTTGCCTGATTCCCAGGCCAATGCTCCTCATGCCTCCCACAAAATAATTGTCTCATGTAAACCCATAATGATAGGATTTTAGTGATGAGGAGGGAATGAAGGGTGTCAGACAAAAGGTATTTTTAGTGACCAATTTGGATTGGGCACCATACCTGGGCTAGTTGAGATTGCTCTATCCAAATGGCCTTCACCAGTCTTTTTTTTTTTGGGGCAATTGGGGTCAAGTGACTTGCCCAGGGTCACACAGCTAGTGAGTATCAAGTGTTTGGTCTGGGTCTGGATTTGAACTCAGGTCCTCCTGACTTCAGGGCCAGTGCTCTATCCGCTGCGCCACCTAGCTGCCCCTCACCAGTCCTTTTGATCTATGTCTTGCCACTGAACTCTAATGACTTTGGAGGAGAGAGTGAGGCTGAGGACTTTAAAAGTGCATAGCTCTGCCTCACTTAACTCCAATTCCCTTGCAAGTCAAGATATCATCCTCCTGATGTCATTAGTCCTCTTCAAGAAGAAAGAATGAACAACAGTACCTAGCCTTTAATTATTGAATGAGGATTGCCTCAGCAAACTGATACCTGGGAAAGACCTTTGATTAAAAAGACCAAGGTCTCCCACCAAATCTGTGGCAATCGCCAGTCATCTTGACTATGTCTTGCCACTGGCCTCCATTGACTCTTGAGGAGAGAGTGAGGCTGATGATTTTGCACAGCTCTGCCTCACTTAAATCCAATTCCCTTGCAGGTCAAGATATCCCCTTCCTGATGTCATTGGTCCTTTTTTCAAATGAAGGACAAACAATAGCACCCAAATGGCCCTGGCTGCTGATGTCTCTCCTTTGTATCTCTCTCACAAATCAGTAGGATGAAGCGGAGGGCTTATGCTGATAATCATTTAAATCATAGAGAAAGATCACATGTGAAATAATTTTGCCAGGTCTAGGAACTTCACATCCTCCTCCCACAATTCCCATTGTCTTAAGCCTTTCAGTTTGGTCAAAACATCATTGAATTAAATGTCACCTACAGGGACTAGACCAAAGATCTGTTTTTTTTCTTTTAAGGTCTTTCCACTAAGGATTTCATCCATTTAAAAAAATGAAATCAGAGAGTCCCTTCGTTTTGAGGCAGGTAAAGGCAAAACTATCCTACTTTCTTGTAGGAAGCATGGTACAGAGGACACACTTGGACTCTCCAGTCCACTCTGCAAGAGCTGCATTTCATTGAGCAGATATGGTGGCTAGCTTCCTCTTTTGCAGAACAACAGCTGCACTGAGTCACCAAAATGTTCAAGGAAAGCTGAGAAATATTTTGTTTGTTCCAAGAGCTAACAAGACCAAAAGCCAATAAGCAGATTCATTTCCAAAGCTTGCATTCTTGCAAAGTTTTGGCTCACTATTCTTGACAATATGTGAGTCTGTGCCCGGTTTTCATGGAAATAGAAACTCAGTCATCTTGTACATGTGTATGTGCTTCTGATAGAATCTTAAGAGGTTTCAGGCAATTAAAAAAAAAACTCCATGTACCCACCTAAATGTCACCATTGTTGCTTAGGTTTGTCAAATTCAATGATGAGATATTTGGTGACAGTGAGCATCAGTAGCCTGGAGAAATATAGTAGCAGTGTTAGAGGCTGCTTTTTCCACTTTTATTCCCTGCCTAATTTGCCTTTAGCCTAGGTTTTTTCCAGTTTGTGGTCTATGAGTCTAGTCAAATTTACATGGCTGATTTAAGTGGGAAGGCTGAAATGACAGAGACACAAGACTGCCTTTGGGCTAAAAATCGAAGAATCTTAGATTTAGAAGAGACCACAGTGGTTATTTAATCCAGCTCCTACCTGAAACACAACCTCTTTCATATCACGGACCCTTTTGGAAGTACGGTGAAGCCTACAGATCTCTTTGCAGAACACTATTTCGAAATGCATGCAGCAAAATACATAGGAAATTATACTGAATGTGACTATTAGAAAAATTCACAGATGCCATGCTAAGAATTCTTGCTCTATAGCATCCCTGTCAAATGACTGTTCAACCTTTGCTTGCAGAATTCCAGTGATGGTAAACTCACTATCTCTCAAAGCATCCCATTTTTTTAGTCAGCTTCACTTGTTAGGGAATTTTTCTTATATTGGCCTTAATATTGTTCAGTCTCTGCAATTTCCACCAATTCCTCTTTGGTTCTTCCCTTTGAAGCCAAGCAGGACAGGTCTATATTTTTTTAATGGAAGCCCTTCGAGTCTTTGAATAATATTATTACTGTCCACCCCTCCCCTAGCTCCAAGTCTTCTCAAATCTAAGTAGAGCTAGTTCTTTCCACCAATTCTTGTACGACCTAATGTCCAGTCATCTCAACGTCCTATTCATGCTTCCTTTATCTTGATGCTTTCTAGTTGAACAGCCTTCTTCTTAAAATGTAGTGCCAAGAATTGAATACTGTTTCAGATGTTATTTGACCAGGTCCAAGCATGGTGGAGCTGTTTCTGCTACCTCATTTACTCTATGCTATGAATGTCCCTTCCCTTTGTCCTTTCCTCTAAGGTTTCACTAACTAAGAAAGTATCAGGCAAATCTCAAAGTTCTACCCATGAAAGGTCCAGTGGCACATAGTCACAGGTAGCATTGTAAGAGGCAGTGTGGGGTGATAGATGAAGAGCTAGCTTCAGTTCCAGAGAAACCTGGATTTAGGTATCCTACACACTGGCTATGTGACCCTGGGCAAATCACTCAACCTCAGAGCCATAGACAGTTCTCTAAGACTGTAAGTTGCAAGGAAGGTGATAATCTGTACTGGTAGAGGGAGTTTCCTCACTAGAAGTTCTCTGTGCCAATGAAATCACAGTTCTGACCCTCTGCTCCTAAAGGGTTATATCACTGCTTTTTTATTTCTTACCCTACTATCATGTTATTATGATCATATTAATAAAAATATGTGGCAGAGAGGTGAAGCAGTGGATAGAATGCTGAGCCTTAAGTCAGGACGATTCATCGTCCTCAATTCAAATCTAGCCTCAGACACTTAGTAGCTCTGTGACTCTCAGTAAGTCACTTAACCCTGGTTGCCTCAGTTTCCTCATCTGTAAAACAAGCTGGAAAGGGAAATGGCAAATCACTCCAGCATCTTTGCCAAGAAAACTACAAATGGGGTCACTGTCAGTCATGACTGAAATGACTGAAAAACAACAAATTAATAAAATCTATATTACTCATATTAATCTTGCATCCATTAAAATTTGTAGATAATTTTGCATTAACTACTCTCTGGTCAGCTATTCTTGTGATTTGGTGGTGGTGGGGAGGATCTGTCATTAAATTAATCTAGACACTGCGTTCTAACTTCATGACATTAATGCAGTCTGCCCTCAGTGTATCATTAAAGCAATAGGAGAAAAAAAGTAAAGCCAGTAACTTTTAATAAGCAAGTTCTTTAAAAAGCCATGACATTTCCTTGAGAGATTACACACAGAAAGAACCGCCAACTGTGTTTATTGAAATATCCATTTGGAGATTCCAATTACATACTAAATATGCTGAGGGAATTTTGGGAAATATTTTAACTTAATGATCAGACATTCAAATATATGCAACAAATGTGTAATTTGAAGGTCTGATTGCAATAATCAGTTCTTGGAATAAATGTAGGTGCATTTAATGAAATGTGCAGCTTTGCTGTTGTACATACACTTACATAGTGCATGTTAAGTTGATGCTTCCTGTAGACCTCAGTAGCATTGAGATATCTATGTTCTCATTGAGGTGGGTTGGGGTGGACTGGTATAAGTACCCTCTCCACTTATGCAGTTGCAATTCCTTTGTGCCTTATTATATTACACAATTCTTGTCCGTGATTTTTCAAAAATTCACATAAGTTCTACTACAATGGCTTATCATGGTGTGGAGGTGACCATGGATTTTCCACATCTATGCCAGAGTAATGTAAGCTCTGGTAGATCCAATAAGCTAGAAATGCTTCTAATAGACTAAGTCTACTGTCTGAGCACCAGTTTAACTAAGTACAGAGAATCCCATGGCTAGCTTTTTGGTCAAGGGTATCCAATACCCAGATGGCTGCTTAAAAGCACTGCTGAAAAGTCTAGGTGCTCGAGGTTGACCTCTGTAGAGCAGCCAAAAATGAAAATCAAGTCACTCCATTTTCCCTACCATCAGAACCGAGAGTGTGGGGATAGTATGTACCAACCACTGGCTTCCCTGATGCTCTTATTTGTTGTTTGAGAACTATATGTCTTCATGCATCACTGGAGATGATGATGTTTACCAAACATGAAATGAAAGGTCACACTGTTTTCAACCAGTCCAGTTGGTGGACTAGTTAAAATCCTCAAATACATGCTTTTATTTAACTTCTTTACAGGAAAATCACCTCTATATTTGTTGGCTGTTTGATGGGAACCTAATCTCATCCAGGAAGACTAGGGTATTTGCAATCACGTTATCACTGATCTGGATTCTTTTCCACCCTTCAGGTGAAGGAGTATACCAAAATGATGCAGTTATTTGAACAGAGACTCCTAAACCTAAGCATCAAAATTCGGGTCATGGAAGAGACCAGCATTTCTTACAATAAACTGGACTTTGAGTTGCTTAAATTAGAAGTGAGTGAAATGCAAAAACTGGTCATAGAATTGAAATCCAGTTTTGTTGGAAGCAATGTCATCATTGACCAACTGGAGCTGGAGGTGAGTGGTTCACTATTCTCTTTTGAATTATTTACTACAAAAAAATGAAATGTGATTTTTTTCTTGTGTCACAGTTACATATTTGCACAATTGGTATTTATTTCCATTGCTATCTTGCAAAGGAAACTGATCAAATACATTATCTAGAATTATGTATTGAATCCTCTTTGAAAACCATGATTAGGTAAAGAAATAGGATTGTCATACCCTGTGGTTGCTGTAGTGAGTGCTATGTGACTCAGGACTCTTTATTTCACACCATTTGGGCCTAAAAATACTGTCCTGGCCTTTTTCCACCCCCGTCCCTGCAGGTAGAAACCCTATATATTCTTCAAGTCCCAGATCAAATGCTATCTCCTCTATGAATGCTTACAGATATTCAGTCTGGAAATGAACTCTTACTCTTACATGCTTCTGTGGGACTTCAGAATAAATTTCTGGAGACAGGCAATGATGTCTTAATTCATATCTTAATTGATTTTTGTCTCCCCTATAGTGCCTAGTAAGTAGTATCTGTACCAAAATTTGTCCAATAAATGAATGAATTGATCAATGAACTCCCACCTGGTACAGGATAGTTCTTTTAACATGTTTTTGAATAGCATGTCCATTTCCTCATTTCATTTGCATCTTATTCTTGCTTTGTTGCCAAATTCTATTTCCTGTTCTTACTCAACTCTACTTGAATGCATCTCATACTTTTGCCAAGGTTGTTACCCTGAGCTATGGCCCAGCTTAAGTCCCAAGAGCTTCCTGGCTATACTATTTCCTATTCATGGTTCATTAGTTAGTCCACCTGATGCCCTAAGTTCTCACATAATTTCAAAAAAAAAGAATACTATCCCTATTGAATAGAAACATGACAGAGACTACATGGATCCTGACTCTGGAAGCTTTTTGTCTATTTGAATTGAATGTGAGGTTGATCACATGAATCAAACATTGACTAGTGGGGAAATGGGAAGATGATTGGACATAAAAATGACCTTCATCCTTTCTGAGTTCTAGTTTTCTCATTTGCAAAATGGGGCTAATAGGACCTGCCTTAAAAACACACAGTTTGTTGTGGGGACTGAATGAGAGAACGTTTGTAAAGATACCTTAAATACTACAAAACACTAGGCATTAGCAGTTTGTTTTATTATTAATAATATCATTGGTTGTTGTTATTATGATAGTTACAACAGGGTTTCAGAATAAAATTGCTTTTCCATCTTCTTTAGAGTGGGCATGGCCAAATATATTTGGACCATTCAATATCATGACAAATCAAACACCTGAGGCCTTCTCTAGTCTGCATTCAAATCTCTAACTTGGCTTCGAAACACTTTTGTTTATTGAGTGGTGTTTGCTAGAGAAGTGAAATGCAGAATAGCTACATCTGGATTTTTTTTAATGTGGCTTTGGCTCTTGGATTCTTTTGTAACTTTTCACTCCATCATTTTAAGTAATACCTGGAGAGTTCATTGGTAAAGCCACTTCTGGTCTTTGAATACAGACTATCGTACTGTTTTATAGTCTAATAATGGATATTAACCAACACATTAATAAAAGCATCACCAATGGAAAAATTCACAATTCTTAACATACATTTTTGAACTTGAAGTGTTCAAAGGGCCTTAACATTCATTAGAAATATAATTATAAGATAGAATGAATAAGCACGAGTTTATAGGGACATGTTATTAGAAATGGACTTTAATGGACATGTGTAGATGTTCTGAAAGAGGTTGCAGTCTATTATTAAAGCTGTTAAAATCTTTGCCATTTTCTTCTTGTCACACACATCTGCCTGAAATCTGACAGGCATTCACGCTAACCCATAAAACGTAGTTTTCCAAATGAAACCATTCACAAGCCCTCTGGTGTATTCTCTAGCAATGTTTCACTAAATGACAAATTCATCCCCTGAATGTTTATGAAAGAAATTGCACAATAATATAAAGTCACTCTGAATTTTTATTTCCTCAGATCAGGAATATTACTCTCCTGGTACAGGAGTTGGAGTCACTAGACAAAAACAATATCCTTGCAATCCGTCGGGAAATTGTGGCCCTGAAGAATAGACTGAAAGAGTGTGAAGAGTTTAGAGGTCAAAACAATACAGATTTCTTTATCCCACCCGGTAAGCATTCTTTGATTTACCACTTGGGCAGGGTCAAAGAGGTGAGGAAACTGGGGAGAATGTGGAGGTTTTTTGACGCATAAGAAGCAGGAAGACAAAAAAAAATATGTAATTATAGCTCTGCCAAAGTACTCAAACACCTTGGTGGATTGCATTCTTGATGCAGGAAGGCGGGATAACTGGGTTGCTGAAGACAAAGAGGGATAGGATTTCACCTTCTTGCGGTGCTCCCTACAGGGGTTTGTTCTCATTATTTTAAATCTCCTTTCCACATAGTTCTACATAATACACACCTAGGAGCTCTTCTGTGAAAGGTGCCAACACATTGGATTGGTTTTATTTTTTTCAGTTCACTACAACACACATTTATTAAGCTCCTTTTGTAGCATGAAAGGCACTGTGCAGTTTACTGGGGTTAGAAACATAACAACACAATAGTTTCTGTCCTCAGGGAGCTTATGTTCTGTTGAGTAAGGGAGATGCAACACACATGGAGAAAAATAAATAAAGATTATTGGGAGATAGTACTAACAACTAGGAATGCCTCCAGAAGGAGGTGGCAATTTAGTCCTTCAAGAAGGATTGAGCCTTGGAGGAAGATAAGGAATCTTAGAAAAGGAGACGAGGAGGGAGTACATTCTGGGCACTGTGGATGGCTTGGCTGAATTTTTTAAGTTAATTAATTGATTTGTTATCAATTTTCAACATTCACTTTTATAAGATTTTGAGTTCCAAATTTTACCCCCTCTCTCCCTTCCTCCCACCTCAGACAACATGCAATCCGATATAGGTTATACATGTACAATCATATTAAACATATTTCCATATTAGTCACATTGTGAAAGAAGAATCAGAACAAAAGTGAAAAACTATGAGAAATAAAAAACCAAAAAACAACAAAAAAAGAGAAAATAGTGTGGATAGCATTTTCCATTGGATGAATTCTTGGAGGTAGGAGATAAGATACTGAATTTGAGAAACACATAACAATTTAGCCTGGCTGGAACATAGAGTGTGTGAATGTAAAATAGTGTGGAATTAAGCTGGAAAGGTAGGGTGAAGTCAGATTTTGGAGGGTCTTAATTGCCAGGCCAAGGAGTTTGCATTGTTCCAATATAGCAGAAGGGACCTCATAGGCCACCCACTTGAAATCATCCATAAAAGTGTCTCTGTACCCATAAGTGGTCATCCGTCCTTTGCTTAAAAACCTCAAGGCAGGATGATCTCTGCTTCCCAAGGTTGCCTATTCTACTTTTGGATGCCTCCAATTTAAAAAGAATTTCCCCCCCTTATGCTAAATATTTATTTTCAACTTTACAGCTTCCACCCATTGTCTTCTGGGGCCAAGCAAAATAAGACAATATGGAAACACTGAAGGATTTTGAGCAGGGGAATGCCATGTTCAAATTTGTGCTTTAGGGAGATTTTTTTTTGGCAGCTGAATGGAAGTTGAATTGGAAATGGGAGAGTTTGGAAGCAGAGAGATCAATTAGGAAGCATACATCCCAGCTTATGTTTGGCTCTTGAATTTGATAAAAATGAATCCATATTGACATTGTTGCTGAGAGAGAGAAAGACTAATAGACAAGGACTATTAGAAAAGGGATCACCATGGAAGTAACAAATTTAGGCATAAAATGTTGCCTACTTCTAAGCATCCTCTATTAAGGATAATGTCATAAGCCGTAGGTCTTGAGGATTAAATTAGCTTCTTAGGGAATTAGCATCTTCTCAGAGCTGAGCCAAGGCACCTTTTGTCTTGTTCCAGGACTTCTTTCTTCATCATATTATATAAATTCTGATGACCTCTAAGTTCTAGTTCATGGCTCTGAGACTCATAACTTCCTTGGTATCTAAGCCTGACTGGCTCCTTGGATTCAGAGATGTGCTATACCTGGTCATTGATACCCTTCTACCTTTTCTCTATCACTGCCATCAAAACTTGGTATCTACTTTTTTCCACCCCCTTTTCCCACTACCTCTCTGATTTTACTATTACCACATACTAGACTATAAGAATGCATTTAATAGAGTTTCTTCAAAGAGTAAAAGAATTATGTACATAAATATCATGAGTAGAATTGAATGACAGATAGTTGACAGTGCCTGTAAAAGAAGCCAAGGAAGATTGGTCCTAGTCAGAACACATTTGGAGTATTGCTTTTAGTTCCAGGAACCACTGTTTAAAGAATGCCATTGGTATTTGGAACATGTCTGAAAAAGCATAACCAGAATGGCAAGGGGACTGGAGACAATGCCCTGTGAGGATCAATTGAAGGAAATGGACATATATAGCTTAGAGAAGAGAAAATCTGGGAGTAGGTAGAAGGGCATGATTACTGCCTTCAAACTTTTGACGGGCTGTCACCTGGAAGAGAGATTAAACTCAGTCTGCTTGTCCCCAGAAGGCAGAAGTAGGAGTAATGGCCAGAAGTTGCAAAGAGACAAATCTTGGCTCTAATGTTAAGAGAAAAAAATCTTAACAGGTAGAGCTGTAAAAAAATGGAATGGCCTGCCTCCATGGATAGTAAGATCTCCATCACTGGAGGTCTTCAATCAGAGGCTGCATGATCACTTGTCAGAATGTCATTGAGGCAATGACTGCTTAAGTCCAGGTTGGACCAGATGGCTTCTAATTGCCCTTTTCACTTGGATTGGGATTCTGTGATTCGTGCCTGAGACTATTGCAATAGCTTCCTTACTAGGCTAATTATGTCCTGATGGACATGATATCAGCAGAGCTCAGCTTCCTGGGCCACAGCAATCCCTCAAATCCACCACTAAGGCCTTAGGAAATCACAATTTTTTTTTTGGTCCATCTGAATTTCATTTTTTATTAGATTTTTTTAAAAAATGGCTGTTTTAAATTCAGCTAGTATGAACTGAACCAAATCACTCACTTGGAATACCCTCCCCTTGTGTTTCTGCTCATTGAAACCTATTCATCCTTTAAAGCTCAGCATAAATCCAATCGCCCTCATGACCACCCCAGCTGAAATATCTCTGACCCTTCTGAATTCCTAACTTTTTTTATTTGTACCACTCATAAGACACTTACTATTAAGTGACCTGATTGTTGCTATTTCAGATTATAGCTATGAATCTTACCTTTTATTTTTAAAGTAAAGAATGCATTCTTGGAGGGTAGAAACTAGTATTTAGTCTTTGTAAACCTCAAGGCACCTCAGACAGAGATTATAATGCAAAGAACAGGTGTTTAAGAGCAAATTTTCTCAATAGTGCGTTTATTAAGCACCTATTCTATGCAGAGCACTGTGATGAAAGAAATGTAGATTTAGCCATGAAGAGATCCCTGACTTGATGGGCTTACATGGTAAGGAAACATAATGTGAATGCACATACAAGAGATTATGCTGTAAACACACCAGAGAAATGGTAAAATAAGTGCGAGGTTACTTGCTAGAAGGAAGAGGTTGTTGGCCACCATGGGGATCAGGAAAGGCTCTATGGAAGATGGAGTATTTAAATTGGAAATTCAACCAGGAAAGAGGACACCCTCAGCACAGGGATGGAAAGGTCTACCTTAGCAAAGGTATGAAAGCTGACTGGTGGAGGAAAGTCTGAGAAACACAGTTGTTTGCTGACTAGAAGCAAGAAATAGCAAAAACCGACATAGATATCACACTTCAAGCTTGACAATGTATTTTGAGCATGTTATCTCATTTGAACCTCCCAATGGAATGATATGGATAGCAACTGGATTGATATTTGATTGATATAAGGAACTCCTGGATGAGTAAAATCTCTCTCCCTCTATAGGCTTGTAACTCTTCCACACCCTGGAGTCTTAGAGAGCTGCTCAGAGAACTGAGAGGTTAAGTGAACTTGGCCAAAATCAGAGTCAGGAAATGTTGGAGGTGGGACTCTGAGGCTTGACTCTAGCTTCCAAGCCCCATTGCTCTCATGAGGATATATTGTGAAAATCATCAACCTCATTTTACAGACAAGGAAACTGAGGCTCAGACCATTTGAGTGGCAGACTCATGGTTCCGTAGCTGCATAGTAAAGAGATCTAATATGAAGCTAGGTTTCTCTGAATTTCAAACACAGAGAGCTTTTCACTCTATCATACTTCCTTTCATTCAGTGGAAGAGTAAGAGATAAAGCTGACATCACTTTGTGGACAGTTGCTCACCAGTCAAAGGGGTTTGACCTTTGTTTGGTAGGCAGTAGGGAAGCACTGGAAATTTTTGTGTGGAGAAGGGATGGGATCTGGTCTATACCTAAGGAAATATGCCTTTAATTGTTGAGCTAGTGAATGAAATGAAAAAGCCTTCTCTGAATCAGATAGTGCTAGATTCCAATGCACTCAATGCAGCCTCTAGACAAGCTAAATAAATGGTATGAGCTAGCAGCACTGTCACCAGTCCTTTCTAGCTGTATCAATGACAGAGGGAGGCGGTATCTGACAGCAGAGAGGATCATTGCATGGCTTTCTCAGTACTTTCCATTTTTATTGATTTCTATTGCTGGTTTTCTTTCAAGCCTTTGCTTTGTGCTACATGTCCAGGTGTCTGCTTTCTATAGAACCTCACCTAAAAAGGTGTGTCATGGTTACAATCCTTTCAGTTTCGTGCCAAGTAGAAGAATCACTTAGCAGCCTTCCCAACCCCTGTTACAGCTGCTTAGAGGCCATGATGTGATACAGAATTGGGAGAATTGGGAAAATCTCTTTTCTCTCACTTATGGAACTAATTGAGGACACCTGGTTAGGGAGGTGAAATGCTCTTGTCTTTTAATTAAGGTTAGAGGATGATAGCCTATAGCACTGGAAAGGACCTGGATATCATCTAGTCTCACTCTATCATTGTAGAGAAGAGGAAAACTGAGATGCATAAAGATGGAGTGTGTTGCCCACATTTGGCACCCAGAACATTTGAGATGTGTAATAGATGCTTGTTGATTAATTGATTGATTGAAAAGAGTAGAGCTTGAATTCAGGCCCAGATTCTTTGACTCCAAATACATGTATTTGTCTA